CCCTTTCCATTTAAACATAATCCCCCTAATCCCTCTCTTAATAATCAAAATCTCATCCCAACTGACAATTAAGCATTACAAATGAATAAAAAAATTAGCCACTAATCATCACCTGCGATAGCAACCCATTATTAAACCCAATTAACAATTAAGTATTACAAAAAAATTAAACCCAAAAAACTGTTAAACATTACCAAAAATAATAACCCCTTATTCATATATCAAAAATAGTAACATAGATATTACAAACTAATCAATTACACCCAATTGTACATTCCAAAAAGAGTTATCCAGTCAAAGCAACGCATTACTTAACCATAATAAAAAAAACTGGTTTTATGTTTTTTTTCTTTATCCCATCAATCCTTGAATCCCATAGATAAAGTTGTAACATCTGTCTTCTATTATTCTTGTTTCTTCTTTCAAAATCCTTGTCATCTTTATCAAAGTCCATATGTATTTTCAATATAGTCACTCTTATATTACAATTTAAACAAGTAATCCACATCCCTGTTTTGGTACACTATTTGTATATCTTTTTAAATTTTCAAATGATCACCCAATTCCATTTGTAAATCCAATATTTCCATTTCTTTCTTATAAGTTATAATTTTAATCCACCTTAAAATCCATTTCAGTTATTTTCTAAGGAATTTGATTCTGTTCAGTAGCAACCCTTGGGTCCAATATAGGGTTAAATATTCCTAGGATTTCTTGAGCCAATTTATAAAACGTTTCCTTTAAGGTGGCCATCTGGTGCTCTCTAGTGATTAACCTTCAAAGCTTTGTTATCAGGTCAAAATGTAAACAAAGTTCTTTCCCACATGAGAAGATCTTTTTAATTAACTTCCAAGTCTTTCTTTAAATCAATTTCATCCAAATCTTTAGCATTTAAAAATTTTTCAAAGAACAATACTATAATTCCCCTTTTGTTATATATTACAAAAAACAAAGATCTTACAAAGCTGGAAACTTGTAATTTTCTTTCTTTTTAAATGGATTGAAGAGAACTCACCCAGCAAATGTTCAGCTTGCAACTCTGAAGGTTTTTCAATCTTAATGAAAAAAATTAATCTCCAAGGTGATTAAAAAGATGAGGTTTGGATGAACTTTAAGTCTTTAAAAAGGCTACATTGATGGTTCAGAGCATGAGGAAATCCACAACTCCCAGCTGATAGCAAGTGGCTACAAAAACAACAGTTTCTGCTGCTGACTCACCCCCCCCCCAAAAAAACAAAAACAAAACCCCAGCTGTCTGGAATGCATGAGGGCAACCTCAAGATCTCTTTCTGACCCAGAGAGAATTACGGGCGGTCTGGATCCTGCATCCAGCTGCCTTTTGGCTGCAATGTCTGCTGCAAACCGTGGGCATCAGCTCTCTAGCCTCACCGGAAGCAGACTCCCTAAATGTAAGGATTTTTTTCATGGCTAAACTTGGAAAGTGAATATATTTCATCAAATGAAAGAACCAGCTAATACTGACATAATGGGAAAAACCCCCATATATTACATTTGTGGTAGTCTAGAAGTATATGTGATTCGATAAGGACAGAGTAAATTCTGACTAGGTATCTTCAATTATCCATTTTCCTTGTGAATAATGGAGAATGCAACTTCAAGGTCACTTTTGACTTTAACATCCTAAAATGTCTCTCCCAGGCTGGTCCTACCATTAGGCATATGGAGGCAGTCATACGAGTTACAGAGGTTAGGTATTATGAGATGACAGCAACTGATGAATTCCCACCAAGGAGAGAGATGCCTAGAAGATTTGTGGTTTCACATATTCAGGTGGATGGGAGACACCAGCCTATGAACCCTCATACATGAAAATGGCAATAGAGTAGGACTACCTCTTTTTAAAAACACTTTAAACAGCAACATATTTACGGGTCAGATTTAAACAAAAGTTATTTAAAACCAATTGAAACTTTCATCAGCAATGGCTACTCACTGAATGTATTTTATTAAAGATTTTTAATACAAATCTATCTATATCTACAGTATATCTATATCTATATAATCTCTGTTGTAGCTTGATCTTCCTCATATTGTCTATTGGTCAATGCAATTGATTGGGAAGAATTATAATTTAGTGCAGGAAGAAACATTTCAAAAGGAAAATTACAACTTCTTGCCATTTAATAGAGGACATTACTTTCTAATTTTTCTAACCTCAAGGTTTAGAGTATATCCTGTCTTAAGGAGATTGAAATGCTTGATTTATTTCTATTATCCCCTAAAGCACAATCCTTCTCTCTCTCTTCCTCAAATTATTCCTCTCTGCTTGCTAAGATAAACATAGTATAAGATATCCCACAGACACAGACAATGAGGGTAGAATAGGTGCTACACTTAGCTTATATTCTTCATTAGGGACATGCAGTTTTAGAAGCTCTTGTGGAATGCTTTAATTCATCACACCTAGTTGTTTTTTATGAGCAGACTGCTATTACCAAATATGTATTTTATATTCTTTTCTTTCTTTCCCAAACTTGTATGGCTCGTTGGCTTTTGTTTGTTTGTTTCTGCAGCTCCCTCTGCTCAGTATCTCCTTTTCCAGTTCTACTTACGCTCCTCAAAGAAGTTGCAAGATATTATTTCAGATTTTGGACTTCATTATTGCAATCCTTATGGCTTTTTCACACCCCCCCCCAGCCCCACTCCCCACCACCCAGTTAAGTCTCTTTCACTATGATAGCATTCCCTGTGCCATTTCTATTATTCATACTTATCCACTAATGTATTTTCTCAGCATCAGTGAATCCATTTGTGCACATGTAACTGCTATTCTCTGGCAAGAATAGAGGATTTCTAAAACAGGGAATGGGACAGCAGGACTAGGTCCCTGTTTCTCGAAGAGAGAACGTCTCTGAACTCCAGTCACGTTTGATGGAACCAGAAGCATGCGCAAAAGCTGAGCCTGGAGCTGTCCAAGTGCTGAAATTTATAGTCAGTGTGTAAGATCACAGCCCTCCTTCATTCCGGCACAGGCAATGTTGCTTTCCCCCTTTCCTTCTTTTTTGAGCACAACATCAACCACGCACCTTTGATATTTACAACTTGCTGATAAAGAAATGGGTGAAAGGCAAATAGCCTTTCTCCCATTTTAACAATGCTTCAAACAAATACTGATTTGTAAGCCCAAGGGAACTGTAGACAGCTCCGGAAGACAGAGCAACGTGGCAGCATTATTCTCATCTCCATAATGTCAAGGTAGAGAAAGATTTGGGTTTCCTTTGGGAGGGTGGGAAGACGTTCAGCATTTCCAAAAGAAGCTTCCCAGAGAACTGTCCGTTCCAGATGGTCTGTACCTTTTGTGTTGGCTGCTTGGGAATGCACTTAGGTTTAACCTAACCATGATTTTAAGGACTGATACTTTGGATGTTTTTTCATCTCCAATGTACACAAACACAGCTCTTCTCTTTCTGATTATAATGAAATTTAAATTATTGCTGGATTTGGGAATTTAGAGAAGACAGAATACTTTCTGACAACCCCTTTTTATTGATGCTGGAATCGTTTCTGGAATATTTTTTTCCCACATTCAATGCAGAAAACAGGAGGAATGAACCGACAGCTAGTGAGCATTTTGACAGCCTTGTTTGCAGTTTTCTTAGAAACATATCATTTCAGGTAGGTAAAATCATTCATTGTTTGTAAGCTTCTATTAGAGATGCAGGAATTTAGAGCTGCTTCAGAATCACTATTCATTTTGCTGAATCTGTACTCTGAGTATATAGGCTAGGTATAATTGTGCCATTGGAAATAGCTGTTGCTTGGTAACACACTTAAAAATTCCACACAACTTTAGTCTATGGAGAAGTTACTGAGGTACTCTTTCTTTTAGGTTACAATGTGTGTGAGTAGCTAAAAATATTTCCTCAGGTCAATGAAATTTTATTTATCTGAATCATTTAAAACTATCAAACAGAATATTTTCTTCTAGTGTGGGATAGTGAAATTAATTTGTGGCTGGGAGCATACACTCAGTTGTTACTCTTTCATGCATGTTAATAGCCCTGCTGTACTAGAAATCAAGAAGATAAACAGGGGGGAAATGTCCATGCTTCTCATGTGCACAGTACTTAGCTTTGCTGCAGCAATTCTAGTCTATGTTAATAAAATCTTGGAGAACTGAAACTTTTCTGGATTAACTAAAATAACCTGTTAATCTGATTTTACGCATGTGATAGCAGAAAGGCAGGTTTTTACTTGTGGAAGAAATCTAAAAAGAAGCCATCCTCTCAATAAATGTTGATCAAGGAACATCAGTTCAGCATACACATCTGATTCTATATACTCTCCTATAGAAGGAAGCAGTGAAGGTTTAAATGGAAAAATCAGTGTTTTAGCTTTATTCATTCTATTTTATTAAATGAATAATCTGGGGGATATGTGAATTGATAAATGTCTATATCCTATATATATGAATATATCAATATGTCAGGTTAAAATGATGAGGACTTCTGAATGTTACTCCACATGACTACCCTGTAAAGAATGTATTATTATACATCATATCCATTTTTAGAGCTGACTAAAACACACACACACACACACACAAACAAAAACCTCTGTTGCTTAGTAAAGGAAAGTATTGCCATGCTCAGCTTTGCAATATTTAATGTGAGAAGGTTTATCATTCTTTGAAAGTTGATGAGGTTGTAACATGTTGCTGGTCTATAGTGCAGCATCTCAAGCAACTCTTGTCCATTACAACGTCAGATTATATACCATACATGTGTTTTTAATTGGATGCACTATAGGTTCTTTGTATAAGTGTAGTAATTCTTTATTAGTCCCTGTGATCACATTTAATCTGTTCAAATCACTTATTTTAAAGTAGTATAAGAGAATGAAATATAGTAAATTAATCTTCAAAAGGATTACGTCTACTCCCCTTCATATAGTACACTGAAACAGATGTCAAATAAAGTACACAGCTTTAGACATAAAGGAATACATTAAACTCTGTGAGGTGGTGTTGTGTTAGAATTCATTTCCTTCTGAATTAAATTCATGAGGTTTTTGTTCTTTGCCTTTGCAGGGAAGTGTTTGTACTTTACATGCAGAAAGCTATGAAAGCATAAGAGCACAATTAACACCTAATAGGCTACAAATGGATATGGATTTTGCAGTAAGGCCATTATCCATAGGTGATATGGGCTGACATAAAAATAAAATCTTCATGTTTTTCTTTTTCCAGAGGAAACAGAGTTGATGAAGAATCAACTCATTTAATTAGTGCCTGTTAAGATTTTTGACTGTTTGATGTTTTTATATGGTTTGGACATTAACATTGTAAAAGTATTTGCTGTATGTGTGATAAGTTTGGCCAGTTAGTCTTTCAGAGATCATGTGGATCCATCATGGAAGGCAAAGGTGCCTTGAAAAAGGAATGCATGACTCTGCTCTGCAAATATAAACATTCTTTGAAAACAATTAAATGAAATACTTTATTGAATTAAATATCTTAATCTGATCTTTTTTCCAACTTGATTCCTAGAAGTTTTGATGTTCCTCACTGTTCTGTAAGAGTTATATTAACATAAAGTGAAATGCATATTAGTGAACTATTCAAAATGACATTACATTTCCCCCATGAAAGTGATGTGACTACAAAGAATGTGCAATTGCTAATGGTAACTAATAATTTATCTAGGACAACTTTCTGTAAAGAACATGATCCCAGAACTGCAAAATCCCCTTCACAGGCACTGTCTCCTTCAGATTTCTTGGATAAGCTGATGGGACGGACATCAGGTTATGATGCACGAATAAGGCCCAATTTTAAAGGTAAGCCCTTTTTAGCACATTCAAAATTAACTGGGTGTTTGTAAAGCACAAGTTGTGATAAATGAATAAGAAGATTTTCATGTACTTTATTCTAGGACGGTGTTCACCCACCTGGGGCCCTTCAGTTATTTTGGACTATCTGGTAACTCTATCAACCCTGATGTAGTCATAATGATTGGATATGAGGGGACTTGTAGTCTAAAACAATTTGATTCTGATGGCAACTGTATTTAAAAATATATGGAGGACATCAGATGGGGAAATTTGATAAAGGTTTAGGTATACCGGGGCATTGTTTTCACAAATAATTAGAATACTGTATTTCATATATGAAGAAACCATCATAGCTCAAATAGCACAGAAAGATTTTATATGCAGTTTTGCATCTCTTTAAATGTTACATTAAAAAATAGCTTACATGTGCAGTTTTATGCCCTCAAAACACTTGAGATAGAGAGAAAACTGGTATTTAAGACATTTAATTTTATAAATTTTATCCTATACATTTGATGATGAATATGTAAACCTGAGTGTAAAAAAAAAAAAAATGCTTTTATGAAGACCTCAGCTGGAATGAAAGTTCTTCCTGTGACGTATTAATCATTACCTGATGTTTTAGTTCTCAAATAAAGACAATCCATATACAAATCAGCTTTAAATGGTCAGTACTCAAATAATATGCATGAGATCAGAACTGATTACTTTTGACTTTAGAGTCACAGAGTTTTGCTGATTTCAACAGGTGGATCATAACACAAATCTAAAGTGGCATAGCTGAGCATCCTACTTGAATCATGAAAATATGGCCCAGGATTAGTATTTTGATTGTATTTAACTTGACTTGAATATATATTAATACTAATGGAGAGAGACTTTGTAAAATTAAATTAAGTTTGTTTATATCAGAAGCAATTAATTTCCAAATAGAAGCAGATACAAATAAAGCAAGTATATATTTGGATCTTTATGTTTAGCCATAACAAGGCATTTCCTTTACTTATTCTAGGTACTTATTCTAGGTTACTCTGCAGAAGCTTGGTTTTTATTTAATGTACTCTGAAGTAGGTGAATGATGATTAAAGGTATGGAAGGTTCAATTCTGAACAGGAAAGAGGGATGGGGGGAAGATTTGAAAGGCAGGATCCCTCAGCTTGTACTATGCTTAAACATGCCGTACAGAATTTCCAGATTTTCCATCTTACTGGAAAAACAGGTGATTCTTGTTTTTTGTAATTTTATACTCATACCTACAGCTGCAGGACATGAACCACATAATGTAACAGACAAGAGGTGATATTTTCATCATCAGAATTGTAAAAAATCCCACTTGTAAATATATTAAGCTACCACTTTGTAAATCAGGAGCTGTACATTAAAAATGTTCACTTTTGAAAACTATTCATTATCATCAATTTCCTTTGCTTTCCAGTTGTTCCTTATTAATTCATTATATGAATCTCCTGAGAAAGTAAAGTATATGTTACAAAATATGGAAAGAAATATGCTTGACTATATTGGCTACTCAGCAGTCAAATTGTTTCTCTGATTGAAATGGCTGGTAAAGTCTCAGGTAGTGTTGTATCCCAAGATTGATAGCAGATGTTAGACTGGAGCTGTGGACAAACTGCTTCAATCATAACCCAATACCTCTCACATTTGGTCCTCTAGAAAAAATATATGTCACTCCCTTCACCAACTTTTAATGGAAATAGTAAAAGCAGGTTAATTATTACTGGTATATAGAAGCCACTCAAGACTTCTAAGAAAGGCAGGAAACTAGAATGCCTCTTCTAAAAAACAAACAAATTCAGATGTTACATTTCTAGTAATTGTTGTGCCAAGCCCGTCAAAGCAGTGTACAACCAGGAGAGCAAGATTCTCACAGATTGAGTATAGACATATTTATTACAATAAGCAGGGGGGTTGTTTACAGAATATTTGAAACTGGATATCTATACCTTTACTTACTGATGACTTTGTTAACACAGGGCTTCCTTATTGCATTTGATCTTTCCAACTGAGTCTTGGTTTAATAAGTAGGATACTAAATGCTTATTTGACATTTTAAAAATTCCATCTATTTTTGATCTGCAATGTTTTCACAACATCCACTTTAATTCCCAGGTCAGAGAATTCCATCACACACAGTCTGGATTACACATCACAGTAAGCCAAGATGTGGTTTGCTTTTTCATTGCTTACCATGCTGTATGAACTCAGCCACTGTGCTTTGTAAACCATGATTTATGGCTTAGTGATTTGTGTGAACTAAGCCAATCATGACTTAATTTGATGTGTGGACCACAATATATGAACACTCAATATAAGTACTTGACTTTGCAATTTAAATCCATTATTAATTCTTATGAGACTAAGCATACTTGTTAAGTATTATGAAAGATGGAGCCATTTATCAAACTCTTGGGTAAGTTCAGCTAGCCTAATAGGGATTTTTCCTCTCCCCTAGAGCTACCTATATATCCTCAAAATATCCTCTGGAAATATGAGGAATGTTTAAGGATGTGAAGACTGCTCCAGGAGGAAGATCACTCACTCCCATGCTGTTGTTTTTATTAATAAAAGCATATAACTAAATTTCATACAATATTTTTAATTATGTTGAATTCTTCATAGGCAAGTCTGTTCAAACTTTTGAATTGCACAGAACTCTTTATAGAATAAAAAGTTGCCTTTTGAAACTCCAAAGCTTCCTCCCACATTACTCAAATTGATGTAGAAAAAAATCTTCTTTCCTTCCTTGAAGCTTGCAAAAACTGCCTAACATAACAGTTGGAAGGCAAGTAATTGTAAAAAATCTAATTTTGAGAGTGTGGGACTAAGGCTGTGATCCAAATATATCTCAGTCTTTCATCTCATGGAGCTTTTCAAACTGCCATGTGCAAAGAGCTTTCAATACAATTTATACCAGAGTACATTAGTATTCATAATGCGTATTTAGTGGTTCATGTGGGAATATGTTATAATAAACTGCTTATTTGAATTTACAAAAATCCTGAACATTTTAAACAAGAGTGGCTTTAAAGCAAAAGGAATAAAATTAATCAGATATAATTAGCCTTTAGTTGAAGGCAAATAATTATTAAGAACAGAAGAAACTCTTTTTCTTAATGTCAATATACTCTTCTAGTGTCTCTTTCCTGTCACTAGTTATTAAATAAAGACCAGTTAACCAAACAGGTGCCATTGAATCAGGTCTGAATCTTGTAACTATATGCACAAACACCCTCCATTTTGACCAGACCCTGGCAACAATCCACAAATCTACAGGAGATATCCCAGTGATAAAGCTTATATCATCTATCAGTACCATTCATTGCCTTTCCTTCAACTTCATCTTGTCAAGCATGGTTGATTTTTCTAGTCCATAAACCCCTTATATCAGATACCCAAAATATGTGAATTTCTGCTTGACAATTATTGTTTCAAGGAAACAGCCTTTATTTCATCCAGGACCAATTGATCAGTTCTTCTTGCAGTTCATGATCATCTTAAAGACCATCTCCATATTCATAACTTAAAGCAATCTATCTTCCAGGCCCGCTGCAGGGGATCAAGAAGGGGCAAATGATGAAACAAATGTGCCAGTGTAATGCAAGTCCTGCCCCTTACATATTTGCATCATGGTGTTTCATACATGTGCCATAGAGACAGGGCTTGTGTCAGGACAGTGTGTGACTTGTTTCATCATTTGGATAAAAACCATTGGATCCTGCAGATGCCTCTGCTATCTTCTTCCTCTTTCTCAGTGTCTAACTTTCCCCGACAATATATTGCCACTAGGAAAACCATTACTTTAAGGGTTTTGATCTTTGCTGTCACAGAAATATCCTGAAACGTCATGAGCTTGCCTAAATTTGCATTACCTGAATCTCTAGGACTAATCTCTTTACTTCTTAAATACTCAGACCATCACATTCTATTTCTGGGACCAAAGGAAGAAAGGGAATATCTACCACATTTTTCACTGCATCAAGGGGTGAATTCATTAAGCGTGCTGACTGACTCCAGCTTTGTTTTAGTATTTGACTTTAACCAGATTTTCAGATGTCATCTTTATTTTCCTAAAGAGCTCTTCTACATCTTTATTTTCAGTTAACAAAGTGGTGTCATCTGTATGTTTCAAATGGTCAGTACGTCCATCCACAAGGTTGATTCCAGCCGCCATTTTTATAAAAGAGTTGTTTTATACAGATATATCGACAATATGCATTCCTATCTCACTCCTTCCCTTTCGCGACCATTATTTCTCCAACTGCAGTTCTTATAGGAACGTGTTGTTCATTATAAAGTTTCCTCAACATAGTAATCAGTAGTTCAGACCTGCTCCACCCTAAAATGCTCCACATTTTAGCATCATCTGCAAAATCAAAGCCATTGTTGTACTTTATAAAACAAACTAAAGTTCATTATTAAATTTTCTTGCTTCCCCCCCCCTTATCTATCTGTTTCTATCTGAATTCTTCTTTGCCTTTTCTGAAAACTTTTTCTCTTTCCATGTGTTGCTCTATTCTTTTTGGAAATATAAAAGCAAAACATTTCTGCATGTGAATTTAGTGCAATAATTCACTAATATGCACATTTTCTGCCATTATGTTCTTTGATCAAAGAAAGCACATAAACAAAATTTGTCCAGTCTCTTGGCCACACGTTCTTTTTCCATATTTGTTCACAACAATTTGTACACTGCAGCTTTAAGCAGTTCTATGGGTATTTCATATGCACCTGGCACTCTTCTATTTATTCTGGTTTATTGCCTCTCATACCTCACTTTCTGGTGAAGTCTGTTCCCCAATAGATTTATCTTTGTTCATGCTTTGGTCATTGTATAACTTCATTTGTAAAGGATTTCAGTATAGCCTTTCTATTTTCCTTTAACCTCATTTGCCTCTATTAGTTTTCTTCCATACTTAATGCTCAAGTAGTATTTCTTTAGCTGCATTTTTTCCTGAAGTTTCTCTGCTTTTCTAAAACCCTCTCTC